ATGGAATATGTAGAATATGAATCCATAACGGGCAGGTTCCCAGATTGTCAGACCGTTGAACAGTCCTCAAAGACCTATTACTATTCCTTGAAAAACCCTTTGTTGATTGGCATCAGCAGTTGGGGAAACAAGTGCAGTGACAGCCGGAAAGGTAAATGCTCGGCATGCCTGCTACTGCCCCAGCAGCCCACATCATCCAAGGTTCTCAACCAAACCACCATGGGAGCTGTAGTATTTGAATCCCAGACTCCCCCAAAATGGAGTTGTTATTTCCAATCGACCTCATAACTAAACTCAAGACTATCGTCTATATAATAATGGAAAGCATACCAAGAACTTCTATAAATGCTGCAACACTTTCTGGTGAAAGTTTCATTTCCGTGAGTAAGGTAAACCTTGAGGTTGGGGCCAAAACCATTGGCATGAGTTTTCTAGACTATTTCTCCTTTCCAAAAACATTTATCATTGTAATTGGATGATTGGGTGGTATTTGCTTCACTGAGTGCCCAAAGGGGGCTCTCTCCCTGAAAGCAGAAGCTAGGCTTCCTTGCCTCAATCACTGCTCCAGCCACAGTTTCTGACTCCGTTTCTGGCACACAAGGAACTCTCAGAAACAAAATATTTCAAGTATGGTTGTTTGAAGGAAGATGGAATCTGCTGCCCACTGCTGAAGAAGTAGCAGCTGAAAACATTATGCATAGCATAGAAACATTGTCAAACATTTAAAGCCTACGGAACAGAAGGGCAACTCTGTTGTAGATAGTGTCAGAGGATGGGACCTTTGGGTGGGGAAGCACTCAAAAGATGATGGATGAGGTGCTGCTCTCTCAAAGTAGCGTCGATCATGGCGGCATGAAGGGAGTAAAGCCTGTGGAAGTGGAGCCTTCAGGAGCGGGATTTGCTGATGAGGTACAACTCAACGTACGAAAAAACAACTTTAAAAAAAAACTTCAAAAATCTATTCGTAATCAGAACTTGGAATCTACAAAATGTCAACGAGGAAAGCCAAAAGTCGTGAAGAAGGAAATGCATAAATATCTCTATCCCAGATATGAGTGAGCTGCAATGGATTGGTGTTGGCCATTTTGAATCAGAAAATCATATCCTTTACTATGCCAAGAATGACACAATCAGGAGGAATGGTGTTGTAGTCTTGTCAGAAAGGATATTTCAAGATCTACCTTGAAGTAAAATACTCTCTGTGATAGGATTATATTTGTCTGCCTTCCAGGAAATCCAACAATACAAATATTATTCAAATTTATGCATTAACCAGTAAAGCTAGTGATGCAGAAATTGAAGAATCCCACAAACATCTTAAGTCAGAAATTGATCAAGCTTGCAATAAAAAAGCATGGATAATTATTGGTGATTAGAATGCAAACATTGGAAACAGAGAGGAATAGTAGTAGGAAAATATGATCTTGGCGATAGCAATGAAGCTAAATATCACATAATAGAAACTTGCAAAATGAATCACTTGTTCATAGCAAATACCTTTTTCAACAACACATGGACTTCACCACATGGAATAAAAAGAAATCAAATTGATGACATCCTTGTGAACAGACCATAGATAAGTTCAATATTTGCATCTAAAACAAGACCAGAGGCTGACTGTGGAAAAGACAATCAAGTGCTCATATGTCAGCTCAGGTAGATGGCATGCCTTACTCCCTGAAAATAGGGAGGATTTGAAGCACTTGCCCATGGAGATCAAGGACTGCAGCCTTCTGTATAAATTATAGCTCAATATACAGAAGACCCAAATCCTCACAACTGGATCAAGAGATAACATCATGATAAATGGAGAAAAGATTAAAGTCGATTATTTCAATCCCTGCTCACAGAAGCATCAGTCAAGAGATCCAAAGACTCGTTGTCTTGGTTAAATCTGCTGCACAAGACCTCTTCAGAGTATTGAAAAGTAAAGATGTTACTTTGAAAACTAAGATGTGACTGACCCAAGCCATAATATTTTCTTTTCTTTCCTTTTTTTTATTAATCATTTTATTGGGAGCTCTTACAGATATTATAACAATTCATAATTCCGTTAGATCAAGCATAATATTACAATTGCTACCCCCATCAGTTATCAGTTTCAAATCATTTCTTTCTTCTTGAACTCTATGATATCAGCTCCCCTTTATCCATTCCCTCCCCCACCCTACCACCAGGAACCCTTATTATTATATTATATTATTATATCATATTATATATACACATATATTGCTGTATCTTACAACATCCAATGTACCCATTCACCTACAATTCTATTATTCATTCCCCTAGCATGGGGATGTACAGTCATCATTGCTATCAGCTCCCCCTCCTTCTTGTACCCTCAGTGAATCGTTACTCCCGTTAATGTCTGAAGGGTTACCTATCTTAGCTTTCATGCATCGAATGGTCTTAATTATACAAATGAACATACGCAGGTCCAACAAGATTAATGAGGTACAACAAAGACCATAATAGTAAGGGAAGGAAATATTAACTAACTAGAGGATAGTTAAATGCTTCATCAGTGCTATACCGCTCTCTAGATTTAGCATCCTTCCATGTGGCCCTTCTGTGAGGGACTATCCACTTATTTTACAGGTAGGTTTTGGGTCACCACTTTGTCCATGTTCCTTCACGTCAATTTGATTGGCAAGCCATAGTATTTTCAACTGCCTCACATGCATGTGAAAGGTGGACATTAAATAAGGAAGACTGAAGAAGACTCAATGATTTTGAATTTGGGTGCTGAAAATGCATATTGAAAGCCCCATAGGCTACTAAAAGGACAAATAAAGCTGTCTTAGAAGAAATACGCTCATGGTGCTCCTTAGAGTCAAAGATGGCAAAACTTCACCTTACATTCTTTGGACATGTTGTCAGAAAAGGCCAGTCCCTGGAAAGGGTGATCATGCTTAGTAAAATGGAGGGGCAGCAAAAAATGGAAAGGCCCTCCATGAGATAGATTGACACAGTGGCTGCAGCAATGGGTCCAAGTATAGAAAAAATTGTGAAAATGGAGCAAGAGTGGGCATTGAGCATAGGGTCACTATGGGTCAGAACTGACTCAATGGCACTTAACAACATGGGTGGATGAATAAATGGCTCTGTGCCTGTGGTGACTTGACGGCCTGAGCCAATGCTGTGAAATACTATCATAGCTATGTACTTCGGGTGTGGCAATGGGATAGGAGCAGATTTCCTCCAAACATAGCCCTCAAAGTTGGGTGCAGCATTATGACTGGAGCACGCAATCTAGGGTAAGGTGCACTGACTTCTGGGACACATACAGTGGCCCTGCTCAACATCACCTGCACAGGCCAATCAACATTAGACCTGAAGCACCCAGCAAGCTAGTCTTATAGGTCTACTCAGTGGCCAAGGGCTGCTGGGTTTGCCTTTAGAACTGGCCTGAAATTGGGGAACATTGATCTCCCAGCTCCAGATACATAGATTGACGAGTTGCAGGAACACCTGAACTACTCTGAGTGTGGATCAAACAAAAATGAAGCCTGAATTTTCAGGATTGTTGATAATGCAGAACTTTCCAACTCCTAGCTGCCAATCCCAAGCTTCACCTGTACCTCCAAGGACTAGTGTGGAATATAGCCATCTCTTCCACAGGAGGACTGACTCCTTTACATTTCAGGGTGTAGACATGATTCTTGCCCAGATTCCTGCTCCCACCCCCCACTGATCTGCTGCCCACCATTTTCTGTCTAAATGGATATGCTATGTGGACTCCCTTCTAGCTAGCTGCTATTGATCCATCCCCACTTTCTCATCCCACATGTGTCTAAGTAAGTCCTTGGGACTCAAGGGTAGGTGTAACTTACTTCTCATATCCTAGTACAGCAACAGATACAAAGGGTTATTAGTGTGATAGTCAAGGCGATATACAACCAATTGTGACCTGTACTGGGTTTTCATCGTAATGGAGAAGCATTTGTATCAACGTTAGCCTAAGAAAGAGCCCATCAAACACTCTCCAAGGGAAGAACAGAATGCCAGTCAAGTTTAATCAAGAATGGCTACATTGTATGTTCTCTGGTTGCCATTGAGTCAACTCTGACTTGGATGTGGCAAAGTGGAGCAGCACTCTATAGAGGTGTGTGTGTGTGTGTGTGTGTGTGTGTGTGTTGTTCGTTTGAAGAATTATTTTGCCATAATGTTTTAAATATTTTATTGTGCTTTGCATTAACATGTATAGTGCAAATTAGTCTCCTCATCAATAAAGTATACACATTTTGTTTCATGACATTTTTTGTAATCCCTACAATATATTACTCTACGCACTTCCTTCCATGGATTCCTTGTTTCCATTTGAATTTTTTTCCTACCCCTTATTGACTTCTGAGCTTTTAAAGCAAAGCTGCCCTTTTGGTTTCATATGGTTGATTGCTCTGAGGAGTATGTGCCTCGTTGATGTTGTTTGTTAACATGTTCTAAGCTTAAAGACCACTTAAGGACCATATTCTTGGGAGTTCCATCAGCTTTTCTCAGACCAGTAGGTCTGTTTTTTTTTTTTTTTTTTTTTTTTTTTCATTGTGAAAAAGTCTTTATTTTAAGAAAAAAATTTGGTTAACAAGTTTCACTTAGCAAAATACACCCAAAAGGAAATCACAGTACAAAGCAAGGTTTAAGTCAAGGCCTCACCAATGCCTACAGTATTAGTATTGTGTCTCAATTTTCAAAATTAACTTTTTAAAAGCTTAAAACTTAACCTAAAAGATTTTAAATGAGAACAAACTAGAATGAACAAACATGAGAAATGTTTCTCTTTGGATTAGGGATCTAGCACCTTTTGAGTTTTCAAAAAAAGCATGTCTCCCCAGTGTGTTTACTGCAATGTGGTGTAAAAGAGCCACATATTTAACTACTTTAACTCTGGAGTCACTCTTTAGTATACTACAAAAATGTTGAGAAAAGCCAAAAATGTTTATCATTTACTCATTATCTTTATCACATGCTTCTAGAAGAAAGTTTGCATGAGAAAACACTGAAGAGGTAATTTTTTTAATCCAGATTTCACAAAACTCATGGTGCAAAATGGGTCCCACAGCTTCTATGTAATAACTGCTCTCCACTGCTTGTTGGCTGCCTGTGATAATTTGATTGAAATAACTCAAAATATTTCTATAAAACTAATCGTATCCACCCATGCTGTTTTGCTGACCACTATAGCCAGCTCCATAACAGCCACTCACAGACTGACTCTCAAGGCCAGTGTAAGTAGACTGGGTTGACACCCCCATGCCCTGCATTATTTGGCTATTATATGCCCCATTGCTGGTCCCTGTGGTTGAATTCAAGAACAGCTCAATGTATCTATGCTGCATGTTGGCTCTGTCTTTCGACATTGCGGCCACGGCTTCTTCGTGAGTGCCAAACTCGACATCTGCTTCACCGGTCACTCTTCCATCAGGGCCAATCTCAATATGTACTCTCACAGGGTTAAGTGGAGAGAAGAAATTATAAATGTCATTCTCCGTTGCTTTGTATGGTAGCCCCCTCATGTGGACACAGTGTCCGGTTGTGCTCTGAACAGCAAACTCACTGTCTCCGTATCTGTGGTCATACATTCCTGACAGACAATAGCTGAGATCTCTTCCAAATAGATCTGTGGTGAAACCATAGCTATCGCTGAGGCCACTATACTCCTCATAGCCCCCATAGCCTGTGCTATAGGCCCCAGACCTCATCCTGTCAAAGCCTGCTTGTTTCACAATGCCAATATATCTCCGAGCAGTGCCAGGCCGATCATAGGGCCCTGGCCGCTGCACAGACATGAACTTTAGAGGGGGATCAGAATATGATCTCACTTCTTCCTGACTGCTCTTGAACACTTCAATATACCTGTGCCCTATTCTTTCCTTATGCTTCCCTAGCGCCTTCTCAGCTAATTCCTGTGAAGCAAACTGCACAAAGGCTTCTCCTGTAATCTTGCCCTCGGGGTCTACTGGCAAAGTGATACCATTGGGCATAATTTCCAACCCTGAGAAGAACTGAACAATTTCTTCCTTTGTGCATCCAAATGGAAGTCCTCGGAGGCGCACAAAGCCATCGTTGGCAGTATCGGCACTGTTTGGACCACTGTGCTTCAACACCCAATCCATTTCGGTTCGGTGGGACTTGAATACCTCAATATAGCGGTGCCCCATGCTTTCTCTGTCTTTCTTCAAGGCCATTTTTACATCATCTTCTGATTCAAGTTCAACAAAAGCCTCACCACTCTGTCTGCCTTCTCTGGTGTAGATGAAATGAACACCTGATGCGCCATCATGAATTTTGCATTCAGAGAGGAAATTCTGCACATCCTCAATCGAGCAAGACCACGGCAAGCCACGGAGCTTGACCACAAAACCTTCACCTCCCTCAGGACCCAGCATCATGGAGATTCAACAGGTCAGGTGTCAAACCAGCTTAGTGTGGTTTTTCGTAGCTTTTAAAGATAATGGTAGATGCTCAGTCTCAAGATGTTCTGGAAGTTATGAATTAGCCTGCTTTTGCGCCTCCCTAGGTCGTTCCAGCGTCGTCGTCGTCAGCGTCCGTCCCCCCTCCCTTGGGCTTCACGCTCCCGCTCTCCACATCGGGTGCCTCGCTCGCTCGTCCCACCGGAGCACCTAGAGCAAAGTGGAACATGGGGAGCTTGGCGGTTGTACTAGAGGCAGTTGAGGCTTGTTTTCATGATGTGGAATTTTGTTCTATGTTTGTCTCCCACTCTGCCCAGGACCTTCTATTATGATGCCAGTTGATAGTGATAGCCAGGCACCATCTGATGCTTCTTCTCATGGTTTGTAAGTCCCTGGAACTAATTGTTTCCTTGAGTCTTTGATTTTCTTCACTCTTCTTTGCTCTGAATAAGGAGAGACTGATAGTTGCATCTTAGATGACCCCTCCAAAGCTTTTATGACCCCAAGTCTCTACTCACCAAAGTAGCATGTAGAACATTGTCTTTGTGGAATGTGTTATGTCAATTGACGTAGATGTCCTCCAAGACTATATGGTCCCAGGCACTCAAGCTCCTAGGGTTTTCAATGAATGCCTTTGAGAAAATAGATTGCAAGTCTTTTCTTCTGAGGTGCTTCTTGATGGGTTCAATCTATGAACCTTTTGGACAGCAAAGACCCAGGAACTCTGCCAGATTTAAAGGCTTTCTTCGGTTATGCAACATACCATGCAATTTAATTGCTAATTTGTGGGCAGACCCAATTTAGGGATTGGATGGTATCAGTGCTGTCTGGAGTTGCCAGCGAACTCTTCACTGAAAATGTAGGTTCAATAAGACCCTTAACATTTAAGTAGAATTTAGAAGCCTTCCAAGAAGAGCCTTGGGTATTAGCCAAGGGAAGTGTGATCTGTTTGTCAGTCTGTAAATAGCCTCATGATGGGAGAGAGGATATGCTGTCAGTAGTGGGCATTGAGTCTAGCCCCTGCTTGGGCCCACAAGAAGAGCAGTGGCTGTTATGCTGGCATATCAGAATTCCCAGTACACTTTGACATTCCTTTCCGCATAGGATACAACAGTATAACTAGGCAATGAGTCCAGACCAATGGATTCAGCATCAAATAAAGCATAAAGCAGTTCCTATCAACACAACTCTGACTCATGATGTCTACATGAGAATCAGAGGAGAACTATGCTCCGTATGGTTTATAATGGCTGGATTTTCCAAAGTAGACCACTGGGCCTCTGGATGGACTCCAACCCCTTGCCTTGTGATTGACAGCTTGTGGGACCACCAAATAAAATACAATAATAAAAATAATAATAATAATCAGGCACAAAACAACACTAACTGTATAATTCCATTTAGATAAAGTTTAGTGAGAGGTTGAACTTTCAGAAGTCAGGATAGTTGACACTTCGGAAGGAACAGTGACTAATAGGAGGCACACTATGTATGATAGTGGAAGCCCAAAATCCATTTTCAGGGTCCACCCATGGAGTTAAGTCTCGGGTGAATCCCCTCTGAACATAGCCTAGGGATATGACTAGCCTTGCTGTCAGACAGAGCGTTGTAAAGTCTATTATGCCAGATGCAGTTAAGTTAAAATGTAATACCTTATCATTTGATCTCCCTTTTAATCCATTTTTTTAGTTTTAGATCCAAATTGTTTTAGTTTTTTAATATTTTCTGCTTTCTTTTGATTAAGATCTTTCTATTTTTTGTCTAATCATTGTTGGGTTTTTCTTGAATTTGGGGGGGGATCTTTGGGTGTTTTGTTTTGTTTTTGTTTTTGCTTGATTCCTGTTTGCATTTTATATAATTTCTGTATATGAAATCCAGGATAAGTAAATCTGTTGAAACATATAATTTCTGTATATGAAATCCAGGATAAGTAAATCTGTTAACTAGATTAAAAATGACCTGTGGGGTATAGCGGGGGGAAAGTGGGTAGAAATGGGGAACTAATGAGTACAAGAAGAAAATGTTCTGAAATTGATTGTGGTGATGATTGCACAACTCTTTTTAACATGACTGAATGATTAAATTGTATGATACTTGAAGTATATGCCAATAAAGCTATTTTTGCCTAAGCCAAAGCTGGGTCTTTGCAATATAATGCAGGAAATATAGAAAATGTGTATAAATTGTTAAATGTGATAGTGATGACCAGTTCTTTAACCTTCACCCAGTTCACAATATAAACATGATTTTTTAAATAAAAAATGAAGGGACATGAGCGACATCTGAGGCTTGTGTAGTGCTATTTCTTGGTCTGGATGCCAGTTAAATGATGTATCAATTTGTGAAATTTTATCAAGCTGTATACATGTAATATTGCATTTTAAAGTTTAGGCAGAAAGGCCTGACAATCTAATTTTAAAGTCAGTCAATGAAAATGTTATGTATGATCACAGTCTAATCTACAATTGATCATGGGGATGGCACAGGATCAGGCAGTGTTTCACTCTGTTATGCCAAGTTGCTCAGAAATTGAGGCCAACTTGGCCAAGGTAGCTAACAGCAACATTGTAATTCACACAGCTGAGAGAAGACAAGTGCATGTGTGTTGGTGGGAAAAGGGGGGAGCACCTAGCAGGGAGGATGGGGGGGAGACTAACAATACTTTTAAGGATCCTAAGGGAGGAGTATGACTGATAGAATGCTCCTAATAGGTCGCATTGGTCCGAGTTTCTGTGGAGACCCAGGCCATGTGCCATAGAACAGATGCAATCCTGCATCTTCAAGGTGGACAAGACACTCCAAAGGCCACACCAGAGGGATGGGATGTGGAAAACCCACTAGGTGAATTGGGCTCTACCTCAAACACACCTGTAACCTGAGGACTTAAGACCGAAACTACCTGGTATGTGAAAAAGCAAAAGACAGCTTTACCAAGAGTATCGAACTGTCAGTAGGCTGGCTAACGTTGACTTACTGCTTCAATGCCCTACTTGCTGTATTAATATATGTATTAATCTGGCAGACCTGTGTCTGACATTGTCAGTGAATGTTATTGTAAGTTTTGCCTGACCACCAACTCCAATTGTTTGTACAAATAGTGTCCAGTCATGTAAGGACTTCTTCTGTACAAGTGAATAATACAGGTTTTGTGATATGTAGTTAGCCTACACTTGTTCCATCTCCCTCTCTCAATAGTGTTTTAAAATTAGAACCAGTCCATGAAAGAACCTTGAGGCACACGCTGCAGTGAAAGGCAATGAGCCATTAGTAGTCTCTCCTTGAGGAGCTGATCCTCTTGAGAAGAAGAAAATCAAGTTAGAATCTGTGCACATGGTGAGGGTTGTTGTGCAGCCTCTGCAGCTTGTGGACTGCAGGGCTTTGGGGCAGCAGAGTGTGTGCCGTCCTATAAGGAGGTTGGGTCAGAAGAGCAGGGTAGTATTAGGGCAGGGATGCTGTGTCAGTAATGGAGCCAGTACATATTATCTCATGGAAAATACCAAGGGTATTTTAAGGGTACACCCCCCAACACACACACACACACACACACACACACACACCTGTAAGGTATTATTTCCTTGTTAAGGTGAGACACTTCGTTGTCTTTTTGGAAGCATCAGACTGGGAGTGGAAAACCTGTGCCGAGAAGGGAGAGCAATGAGGTATGGGAGTCTTCAGCATAACTTTTGGAAATGCTCTGTCTCCCTTTGGAGACAATGTAAAGGCACTGTACACCAAGGAGAGATCAGTGCGCATGGGTTCAGTAACAATCATAGTCTACAAGTGAAAGGGCAACAAAGTGAAAGTGGAGCTAGGGAACGAAGCGTAGAAGGTGCAGAAAGGACCGTCTTGGTCCGAGGTAGTTTTCATCCTCTGCCTCTTTCTTCTTATAGACCACTCTTAATCCAAGGCTGTTCTCAAGTGTTGATCTGACTCACCAGGGAGCTTGAGTGCAGAATTTGAGCTCCAGCCCTCGAGTTTCTGACTGTGAGGTTGGAAGGGGCTCAAATATCCTGCATTTCTAGCCACACTCAAGGGATTCTGATGCAGATGGTTTGGGGACCACACATTCAAAAATAAAACAAACTTTACTGGCTAATATTTAGGTTTTGAAGAATGTGGCCCTGCCAGCCAATTTCCAAAAAGGAACCCAGAGGAACTCACAGATTACTGTGTTATTTCTGCCTTGACTTGGTGAAAAATGAAGCATCATCCCACAAGACACATGCATCCCAATCATTTTCATGGTCTGATGCACAGCAAGCAAAGTTAAAATAATTCAGTAGATTTAGTAGCATTCAAAATATTCCCTAATACAGCCCTTGGGTTGGTACCAACAGTTTAGTATGTTTAGCAGCTAACCAAAATCTTGGTGGATTGAGACCCACCCAGTGGTGCCTTGAAAGGCCGCCTCCAGCAGGTCACAGTCTTGACAGCCCTAAAGAGCAATTCCACTCTGAACATATGGGGTCCACACAAGAGAGAATCTATTCGACAGCAACTAGCAACAATAGAGACACAGTATTGAGGACTTGAAAAGGAAGCTTCTTGAGTACAGGCTTGTACGGTCTTTTTACAACTATATCACTCCCTATAATATTCCTCAGCATGATTCTAGGCTCCACGAAGTCCTGTCGATGTTTGCTCAAAACCAGATTGTGAGCTGACTTGCTTTCTGTGTTTCTAAAATACATGAAGAGCATTGGTTAGGTGACTCCTATGCATACCCTAAGACGGCTGTAGTCATGAAGGGCAGAGGCCCCGAAGACTCTCCTGAAGCGGCCCCATTCCCAGATATGCTGGGCTTATGTCCAAGACCTCAAGTATTCCAAAGAGAACAAGAACAGCCAGACCCACACCCTGGAATGTGGATATGCCGGAATGCGGGCAGTGGGTCATGCCAACCCTTGGCTACAGTACCCTTTTGTTTGCCTCCCTATGTAAACTGCTTTCTATTTTTTTAGCAGCAAACTTAAATCCCTCTGTGTACAGCCTGCCGCCCCTGGGCCTCTTGTAACTAAGTCTCGATAAATCCATGTTGCAAAGCGTAACTCCAGGTCATTGTTTCTGTCTCTTGGCCCTCAGTGGGAATACAGCATTGTCTTCCCTGGGTATGTCTCCCGACAGTGCTGCCTCTCTCTGAGGTAACAAGATTATGGTAGGATAATTCCGAAGGCCTAGTATAGCTTTCTGAGGAGCTGATATGAAGGAGGCTGGCTGCATGTA